ACACACGGAAATCCTGCAGAAGCTGCTGGACAGCGGGGCCACTGTCGACTTTAGGGACAGGGTAAGGCTGGATCCTGCCCTCGACTCCATGCTGGTCTGAGCCACTGGGCACAGCACAGCCGATGCTGTTCCTGCCATTGAGGTGGCCATGGGCAGGGCTCTGCTAGCTCGGCACAGGGACTGGCCAGGGCAGGGGGTGGACATGGGGTGGGGGTGTCTCCCACCGTGACATGGCTCTGTGCACCCAGCTGGACTGCACAGCCGTGCACTGGGCCTGCCGGGGTGGGCACCTGGACGCCGTCAAGCTGCTGCAGGACCACGGTGCAGACCTCAACCTGAAGGACAAGGTGTGCAGGGCAGAGCCTGGGGGCACGCAACTGTGCCAGGGGCGTGGGCACACCCTGGGGAGCCAGGGCTGACCCAGTGTTGGGTTAGCAGGGGTGGGTGCTGATCCTCCCCGGTGTCCATCTCCTCCCTCCTCAAGCTGCTCAGCACCCCGCTCCACGTGGCCACCCGGACTGGGCACCCTGACATCGTGGAGCACCTCATCCACTGTGGGGTGGACATCAACTCCCCAGACAGGGTGAGCGCTGCAGCCGTGCAGCCAGCACTGGGGGGGCAACACTAATCCCCGCTCCCTTGGCTGACCTCTCGGGGGGCTCCCAGCACCCGCAGTGGGGCACGTCCAAACACACAAGCATCCCTGTCTCAGGGTGCCAGCATCTGTAGCCAGGGCTGGGGTGGGCACCGTCCACCTTGTGCTTGTGGGGAGGTGGGTGTTGCAGGGAGCCAGGCAGCAGTGCCAGGGACAGGCACGGGGTCCCTGTTCCCAGAGCTGGACCACAATCCCCAGCCAGGCTGTCTTGCAGGAAGGTGACACGGCATTGCATGATGCTACACGGCTCAGCCGCTACAAGATCATAAAAATGCTCATCCTGCACGGGGCTGACATGATGGCCAAGAACCAGGTCAGTAGGGGCCAGTGCCGGGGACATTCGCTGCCCCACCCTGTCGTGCCACCTGGCCTCAGCCTCTCTCTGCCCGCTCTTGCAGGCTGGCAAGACCCCAACAGACCTGGTGCAGCAGTGGCAGGTGGACACACGCCAGGCACTGGAGACCAAGGAGCAGCCGCAGGGGGAGACAGAGGTCCCCGCGTGATGGCAATGGGCAGGGACCAGGGACCTGGCTCAGCTCCAAGGAGCAGGATCTGCCCAAGACTTATCCATGTCAATAAAAGCCAGCAAAGAGCAGTGTTCAGCTCCAGGGAGCTGTGGGCCTGGGCAGCTGTCACTAGGGGGGATGGGACTGGGGAAGCTGGGTTATCTGGGCAGCTGTGTTATCCGGCAGCATGGACATGCCCTGACTCCTAGCACAGGGACTCAGGTGTCAGTGACACCATGGGGCCAGGACACGAGCAGTTCAACGGCAGGACTCTTCGCTGTAGGATGTCCTGGTTGCTTGCAGTGCTTCAAAGACCCACCTGGGCAAGCTCAGGGAGGAAAACTACATCACGGGCAGCTCAACCTGGGTCCATGCTGTGCTGGAGGCTGGGGTTGCATGCGAGAGCAGCAGTAGTACTGCTGCCGGGCAGCCACTTTGTGGGGCTGGATGTCTGGTTGTTCCCTCCCCATTGGAGCCATCCTCAGCGAGACATGACAGCCCCTTTGCAGGATGGATCACTTCTGCAGAGTGCAATGCTCAGAGCTCCCTACCCAGGAATGCTCCCACTTGCCCATTTACAGGAGACTCTACACCAACACCCAGAGCAGGCGAACCCTGCCCACAGCCCTGGGACTCCCCGCAATGTCTGGTCCCTCCATGGCCCTGCAGCCTGGCCCTGTAGGTGTCAAGGGATGGCTGCCAGGACTGAGAAGCAGAAAGAACAGCACAGCTGGGGTGGCCAGGGCTCACCCGGAGGGGTGCTGAGCTCCTGTGGCCGGCTCCTGGAGCGGGGAGAGCAACTTGAGCTCACCCGGTACCACCCCCCTCCCCGAGTTGTCCACCCAGCCTGGTTGCAGGTCCCTCACATGCCCTGTCAAACATTAACAGCCCCTCAGCAGGGCAGGCGGCACGGCCAGTGCCAGCACCCAGCTATCATGGTGCTCAGCACCCACCTCGCCTCGTCCCTCCGGCCAGCCCTGGCAGCTCTGTGCCGGACAGCCCCCGGGCAGTGCCGGGGGCTCAGCACCCCCACGGGACTGGGGCACACACTCAACCTTGGGGGCATCTTCCCGCCCCTCGCCACCCCCTTCTCACCCATGCAGGAGGTGGACTATGCCCAGCTGGAGGGGAACCTGCGCCGCTACGCCAGCATCCCCTTCCGAGGTAAGCACTGCCCTGTGCCCCTCTCCATGCAGGCTCCTGCCCGATCCTTGCCTGCCACGGGGGCTGTGTGGCAGCGTGCAGGCAGCCTGCCAACTTCCATGGGGTGCTCAGCCTCCAGCCAGACTTGTCTCCAGGGCTGGCAGCCCCTCGGGTGACCCACCTGGGGCCCTTTGCATGGCAAATGCTCAGGCAGACCAGGCACACGTGTGTGTCCTTGCACACCCCTGCCACACGCCGGTGCGTGCTTGCACGCACACTGCACACATGTGCAGGCTTGCACAGATCCTCCAACGTAGCTGCAGGCTTGCACCTACCCTCTGCACACCCATGCACACTCACACAGATTCAGTGCCACGGGGTGCTTATCTGTTGATTGCCCAAGATGAATGGATGGGAGGAGAGGGGCTGCAGGAAGAGGCAAGGATGTGCCCTGGGGTCTCTTCTCTTCTGACCAGGCTGTGAGTCTAAGGCTGTGGGGATGGGGACAGGAGAGGGCACAGTGTGGGCTGCAGAGTCCTGTCTGGGTGCCCAGAGGCAAGGAAGGGAGAGAGGATGATGAGGACACCCAACCCTCCTGGCATCCTGGAGCCCTGGATGCTGTGACAGAGCCTGGCAGCACCGGGCTGGAGCTGGCCTCCCCACCCCTGCCCGTGGTGCTGGCAGGGTCCCAAGGAAGGGGTCTGTGTGCGCCAGCTGGGGACGAGGTGGCACAGCCTGGCTGTGGGAACCAAGTGCCTCACTAGCAGTGCTGTGTGGGGCAGTCTCCGGGGATGGAGGCACACAGGTGGTGTGTTCAGTTCACAGGGTGCGTGCACGACACACGTGAGGGTGCCTGGGTAAGGAATGGCACCGCCGGTTCTCAGCGTGGTGCAGGTGGGCACTGCCATCTGAGGGCACATACCCACATGTGCCCTTTGTGGGGGAGCCCAGGGCTTTGCAGGGAACCTGTGGGAGCCTCCTGGCCCAAGGGGGCTGCTGGATGTGGGCATCAGGCTGCTCTGGGTGCTTGGTGCCCACACAAGCGTGGGGTGTGGAGAGGCAAGGAATGGCCAGCCTGCGAGCACCCTGCTCCTGTGCTCGAGCCCTGCCCTCCTCACACTTATGTTCCAGGGCTGGTGGTGTTGGGCTCCAATGGGGAGTACCCCTACCTGGCACCCCGTGAGAGGCTGGAGGTGGTGAGCTGCGTGCGCCGGGCTCTGCCCAGGGACCGCCTGCTGCTGGCCGGCTCGGGCTGTGAATGTGAGTGCCAGCGTGGGGAGCGCGGGGGCTACGTGTGTCCCCTGTGGCGTCCTTCACCCCTCCGCCTCCTCCCCAGCCACCCAAGCCACCATCGAGCAGACAGTCAGCATGGCAGAGGCAGGAGCTGATGTGGCGCTTGTTGTGACACCCTGCTACTACCGGGGGGCCATGACCAGCGCTGCCCTGGTCCAGCACTACACGGAGGTGAGCTGTGCCCAGTGCCCACCAGCAGCCCCGTTTGGGACAGTAGGATGGGGAGTGCATCCTGCATGTCTCTGACCCACCCCAGCTGCTGAGGTCTGCCTGGCTGCCTGCAGGTCGCCGACGCATCCCCCATCCCCATTGTGCTCTACAATGTCCCCGCCAACACCGGCCTGGACCTGCCCCTGGAGGCTGTCCTCACCCTGGCTCAGCACCCCAACATCATCGGGATCAAGGACAGCGGTGGGGACGTGAGTGGGTCAAGGCTTTCCTGGGGCTGGCTGCCACCAAACCTGGCCCTGAGCTGGGAGTGGGGAGTTGGGATTTGCAGCCCTGACCCGGGCCATGGGGATGCCGCATGAGCTCCACTGGAGTGAGGAGACGGGGTGATGCCCACCCTGGAGCACAGTGTGTCTCTCCCCAGATTACCCGCATGGGGCTGATGGTCCACAAGACAAGGCAAGAGGATTTCCAGGTGCTAGCAGGATCAGCTGGCTTCCTGCTGGCGAGCTACGCCCTGGGTAGGTGCTGCTGGGGGCACGGGGTGCTGCCCAGGGGGCACTGACAGGGACTGGCAGCTGGGCAGGGGGAGGCAGGTGAGGGGCAGCGACGCCGGGAGGTGCTGGCTGGGTGCAGTGTGCTGAGCTGGCTGCCAACATGCCCTGGTGTCCCCAGGTGCCTCGGGGGGGGTCTGTGCCCTTGCCAACGTCCTGGGGGCCCCACTGTGCCAGCTGGACAGCCTGTGCCATGAGGGACGCTGGCAGGAGGCCCGTGACCTGCAGCACCGGCTCATCGAGCCCAACATGGCGGTGAGTGGAGAGCACCCCCCGGGATGCTGCAGAGTGGGGGTGCCTCACTAAGGTAGAGCTGTGGGGTGACAAAGGACAGAGGTCCTTGGGGGTGGCCCAGGGTGATGGGATGGCACAGCACCTGGCTGGCGAGCCGAGCCAGGCTGGAGGCAGTGGGGTGGGAAATGCCAGCTCTGCCATGCCAGGAACAGCGTGTCCACTGGCAGTGGGCACCTGCCCAACCCTCAGCGAGAGCCTTGCCAGCTATTTATAGACAGTGACGGGGGAAGAGCTGGTCCTCCCTGGGACCCCCACCCCACTGCGGGTACTTTGCTGGGGGGCTGCAGCTGCCCTGCACAGCCTTGCAGCCCCGCATGGGGCTAGTGCAGGTGCCCACCGAGCACTCTGCTCTGTCCCATGGGAGCTGGCAAGCCCCTGCACCCTCCCTCCTGTAGGTCACCCGTCGGTTTGGGGTCCCAGGACTGAAGAAGGCCATGGAGTGGTTTGGCTACTATGGGGGTCCCTGCCGCGCACCCCTGGCCCCGCTGAGCCCCTCCCAGGTTGAGGAGCTGAGGGGCACCTTCAGCACCAACGGCTGGTTGTGAGGGCTCCCCACCTGGCCCCTTCACTGGGAGCCAGCAACCCTGGGAGCTGGGGATGTGGTGAGGACATTGGGACATGGCCAGGGGAAAGCCACACACCTTGCTCCTTCCTGCTAGACAGGGCTGCCCTGGGCAGAGTGGGTTGGGGGGACACCCAGCACCCTCTGGCCACCCTTGTGTCCCCTGGCCTGGACATGTGCCCAGCCTTGACAGCCCCCAGGGTCCCACTGTCCTCACCTGGGAAGGGATGGATGCTCATGCCGCGAGCCGGGAATAAACTTGCTGTCCCCCTCTGTGTCTGCAGTCCTGCCAGCACAAGCAGCCCCCCACCCAGTCCTTGCTCCCAGCAAAAAGGACATGGCCCAGGCATTTGGCAACGTGATTTACTCAGCTGAGGCCTGTGCAGGCGGCAGCACAAGGCAGGGTCACGGCAAGGCACAGGACTGGTGTTGGCAGAGACTGGTAGGGAGGGCGCAGCCCCTGCAGCCCACCGCCGGGCTGCGAGGGCTGCCGGGACCCCCGCACCACAGCCAGCCAGACCACACCGGGGTGAAGGTGAGCACGCAGAGGGGAGATGAAGGATGAATGCAGGGGTCAAGATAAGGGAGCTGTGTGCCCCCTGCCCACCCTGCCTGCCGGCTCACCATGCCCCCATTCCTGCCCACCCTGCTCAGGACCCCTGCTGACCCCCCATGCAGCCCCGGTCATGCCTCTCCTCCCGGGTTCCAGCTGAGCCTGCTCCTTGCTCGCTGCTGCTACTGCCCTCCCCCAGCATGCAGCAGACATGGGCCAGGCTGGGCATCCCCTGGACTCCTTGGTGAGGATGCTGCTGCAGATGTCCCCAAGGCAGCGAGCAGGCTAGATTGGCACAGGGATGAGGGGGACACAGCCCATCGGCTGGCCTTGAAAGCAGGCTGGGTCCTTTGGGGACACCGTGTCACCCTGCCCAGGGTATGCGTGGGGATGGCCGGTCACCCAGAGCTGA